CGTAAAAGCGACTGAAAAGGCAAGGGCGTGTTGGCTGTCCACAATTGTGTCCACAACTGTGGAGTTTGCCAGGCAAACAGAATGACGGCTGGCTTGGCACGTGTATCGACCCGCTAACATGCCACTGTGTTGATGTATGCTGCGTTCTCTTTCCGTCCTACACCCTCCGCCGCACCAGCGAGCATAACGATTAATTGACCGCACCCTGCCTATGTTATCCTTTCCACGCTGGTGCAGGACTGAGGCCGGTCGTCTAACAATGCCCCATGACTGCATTTGGGAAAATATTATTGATAAATGTACACGGGTTTGAAGTATAAGTCCTACCTGTTTGTACTTTTCGCTGATTGTTATATCGGATGCGTATGATTTGATCAGTAATACTAGTTTGCGTGAAATTCTTCTGAACAGCTCAGAATTTCGATTTGAAGTAGCTGACGCTGCGGGAGAAATCTCATTTTACTCCCTGTTCACCACCATGAAATTATTTCATTTCAGTTGTCCAGCTTTTCCTAATTGTCTGTTCTGTAATACAGTTCGTTTATACAAAAATATATGCGAACATAAAGCTTCTATCCTACGAATTCGACACGGCACAAAATACGTCAAGTCATGCTCTGGCTTTGATTCTCTCCTATTTTCTCTTAATTTGGCCTTTGCCACAGAGGCTCTTTTCGAGGCACACTTTGTTTTTGGGCATGGGAGTATCACACGATCCATGTGACGCACAGCCTTTAACATAAACTAACCAACTCCTCAACCAACCAACCGTTGAACTAACCAGCTACAAATAACTAACTGGGAGCATCTCCAATTGCCCGTGCCTTATTCAGTGGTGTGCCAAGATTTTACATGGGATGACATGAGCTTGTTGTTCAGGATTGGATGTCTGCCGCTGGTGAAGAACACCACGAATTGGAAAGCTGGCGGCAGTCAGCGCGAGAAGTCAGCATTTTGGTTGTCTCTTTAGGAATTTGTCACGTTAAGATGTTTTAGCGGATTTCCTGGGTGTGATTTTTAGGTGCAAGAGCCTGCCAATATATGCTGACACGTCTTCATGGCATTTGACAGACTTTCACCATCGCCTATGGCTTCTAATTAGACGATGCATGTATTTTCCCATTGGCTATTCTTTTGCATTTATGCAAAATTGGGAGGGTCAGTCTGTTCCCATTTTTCAGCTGACAAAATTTGTTGACATCCCCCTGTTCCGGACCTGGGGGACCAGACGGCACCAAGATGTCACGGTTGGATGCCAATTGGTCAATAACCTATACGCTCAAGAACAAGGTGTTTGGATCAGGCTAAAGGTCACCAAAAACGCCCAAAACTACCAGAAATTAGTTTACAGACAATCACGCATTTCCAGCCCATCCGGCCAGTTCTCACAAAATATTTACCAGTTGATGCGCGATAGTTAATATTCAATTCTCTTCAGAAAATGATGACCCTGGGTCAGGTCAAAGGTCCACAAAAATGTCGAAAATCAATCAGATCAGTTAACAGATCATGCCATGGTCCGAGCCTATGAAAGGATCACCACAAAACCTTCACCAATCGCCGCGCCATGGTCGATAACGTAATCTTTCCAGAATGTGAAAATTACCGCTGCGAGCACAGGTCATCACAAATGTTTCAAACAGGAAAATTGCGTTGCAGACCTAGTGATCCCCTTTGACCTGAACCAAGTTCACCATCGCGTGGAAACTTAAAGTTATCGACCACGTTACAGCGATTGATAAAGATCTCGTTTCCAGCCTTCCCAATTAGCAACAGCCTTCCTACTTAGCAACAAAGTTGGGGCCAGTGAGATTCACACTGGTCGGGAGCCTTGCATCTGTCACAGGCGCACAACACCTCACAGAGGCCCCTGTATTCTCAGAGGCCCCGAGCCGATCAAGGAAAGTGTTTGATGAGGTCCGAAGAGAGGCCCGGGAGGCCCACGGGAACCGACGATCAAAGGCCGGTTGAAGGGCATAAGGGCCCGAAGCTGGCTTTAGGCCATATAAGGAATCGCGGCCCGTAGGGTCGAAACCTGAAATATCAGTTACAGGTCTTCTGGCACCGTTTACTTGGCGGCACGTCCGTCTGAGCCCTTAAGACACAAACAGAGCAGAAATGAGGCCGGGGCCCGTGAATTGGTATGTTCGGGGTCCCTGACACCATGAGGCGCTCCTGTATCGGTTAAAGGCCAAAGTGCCGAGCAGGGGTCCTGTGGCGGCAAGTGGTGCCGAGTCGGAGCGGTGTTTGAAGGGGCCCGCCCATAGTCACGTTAAGGGCGTCCGCCCGTGGGGCCGTGATCTCAAGTCAGTGAGAGGATCTCTTGCTCCGACAGGACCCCCGAGACAGAGCGCTCCTGTAGTTCGGCCAGAGATCACGATCACCAAACAGTCGGCTCCGTGTTGGTCTGAGCTCTGGGGCTCACTTTCCAGGCAGGGACAAGGCTGGGCCCGCGATTTGCATTGGTCGGGCTCCTGTATTATTCAGAAGCCCACAAGGCCTAACAGGACATTTTGTGTCAACAGAAGCCTCGAATCGGCCAGGGAAATGATTACTCAACAGGGACGGGGACGGGAGCTTGAATGGCAGAGGGTCTCTTGCGTCTGTCGGAGCCCTCCGGCAATTGAAAGAAGTATAAGAACTTATGATGAGTGCTTCTATTGATGTAATATCATTTTCCTGAGCCGATCAGGGCCCCAGTACCGAACGATGGGCGTTCCAATATGGGCCCGTGAAGCCCAACTGTAGTTTACATACGTGCCAACCATTTGACCCCGTGCGGCGAGAAGGGATGTCGTTGAGTTAATGACGGTTCATGCATCGATCCAAGTTCAACCGCGCAGTTCAGAAGGCCTTGCGCGTCAGGGAGCGGGCCAATGTGACATGATGTATCCCTCTAAGGGCTTCCGGATCACCCAAGGGATGCCGCCCCGAGCCGCCAGAATGATGGCCGGAAAATACACCGTGACAGGACGTAATGGCCCTCAAGCCACTGACCGGGAACAACAATGTGCCCCTTAGAGTAGTGCTCAGTGGGGGGGGGGGGGGGGGGGGGGTTTACGGGAAGGAAATAAGGGGTCTCTTTGGCGCTGAATAAAGCGGGTCGAAATGACAAACGCACAAGGCCATCCCATGTCTCCCTGAGAACATTCATTATTTTACAGAATCGACAGCTAAAACAAATATCCTCAAAAGGCTTGAGCCTGCGCGCCGGGTGCCGACAGTGTAGTAGTTCACGCGCCTGCGTTAACCGCTGTGCGTCCGGGAAACCACAGGTACGGGGTTCGATTCCCCACAGTACCCACCCTTCCCTCCAGGGTGAAGGCTAACGGCGCCATGTAACCCCAGCAGCTAAGTACGTCATCAAGCCCCAATGACACGCCCGGCCACAACTTCGGGCGGCAAGGATAGCGATGGCTTGGGTCGCACTTTTCGTAAAACCGAGCACCGTTGGCCACTGCAGGTAACGCCAGTGGGCGGGCGCCGAGCGCGCAATGATGACCATCGTAAAATTGTGTTTCTGAATGCCTTCTAAGATTAACTCGTACAGTTCGAAGGTAGCACTGGGTGAATCTTTTTTATGACCTTGAGGTTGTCCTCTGGACAGATTAACAGTTACAGCAACACGGAAAATAAAGATTTTGTGTTTATTCTTCCAGATCCACCACCAGATTCCAGCGCCATTTCGCGGTGCTGTAAAGACAAACGATTTATTGTCATTAATCTAAAAGCCGCACAGATAAAATATACGCCCGGAATATCTCTAAATGTACGAATTGGCGCCCAAATGCGTTCAAACGTACTTCTTCCAGATGCATCACTATTTTCGTCCACCTGTTGGCCACAGCCTAATGTCAGCCTCAGAAGCGACGTTGCGCGGCCTAAGGAGACTGCAACGTCTGACGTCGAGTTTTTTATTTCTAATGTATGCGAGTGCGCATGCTTAAAGCTTCGTTACGTAAATTTACCACTTATAAAATTCGACTGTGTGTTGAGGATATCCAGCCAAACATGGCTTTGCCATTGCCATACAAATTGTTGGCCCATTTTGATCTTCAGGCTACATTTGCGTAATCCGTGCTATCTCTGTACTGCTCAGATATAAAATCTGACAAAGTTTCTGAGTTCTGTCGGCTTAAAAGGAGTCCACTGAGCCATTGTAAAAGGAAGAGCGCCGGGATTTATTTCATGTAGTCATTTGACGCATAATTTCATCGGTTTACCTGCTATAAACTTAAGGCAGAATTGATTTCGCGGTAGCGTCTAACGCATCTTCCAGTTATAAAGGTAAAAATGTGTTCAATATATATATATATATATATATATATATATATATATATATATATATATATATATATATATATATATATATGTGTGTGTGTGTGTGTGTGTGTGTGTGTGTGTGTGTGTGTGTGTGTGTGTGTGTGTGTGTGTGTGTGTGTGGTATCTAAGAAAAATATTGCCTCAATAACAAATGGGCCACATCCGGCGATTCCTTTTTTTTGGGTGGGGGGGGGGGGGGGCATTCACTCTCAGGGGACCTTTTGTCAATCCTGCACCTCCCCTTTCTACGCTCTGGCTGCACCCCTGTCATCTGCTTACTGCTTTATCGGCTTTCGGCATATTTAGTAAACTTTGACTTGAGACAAGCTCGGAATGTTTTGAAAACGATAAATCATCACCCAAGGGCCATTGCCTGGTGAAAGTTTGATGCCGATACATCCCATGGGCTCGAAGCATGTGGTTGTCCAATAAGTTCCGTCAGCTGTTAAGTCCCTCCTGAAAGCTGACGTAAGGCAGCACGTTGATGCGTATGTTAGAATTTAAATACGCGCTATAGCGTCCGGAGGTCGAGAGCAGCTGTTTAGTTGGTGCTTGCTACAGGCCGCCGACGTAGTGAATCCCATCGACGTAACAACACAGCTCGTGCGTAATGTAAATAAATCGCTTCATGACTACACCCATTATGCGCGGCCTTGGAAAAACGTGTCTGTGAGGCTATGTGCAGTGTGAGAAGCGAAGCCGTGGGCTGTCGTGTTTTTGTAAAGGCGAGTGAACCAACGTATTAAAAGTATCTAGTAGTGTGTTGCGAGTCTCGTGGCAACCAAAAGTGTGTGGTTTGTGTAGTGGAAGTTCCCTCCATCGGCCGTACAGGTACCAAAGTAAAAAAAGCTCCCTCAATAACATCGATCCTAGTAGTGTCTCTATCTGACGGACATTATCTGAAATTTGGTTTTCGCTCTTGGGAGGAAAAATTCTGAAATCGTGGTGATTGATCATGATCAATTGTGATCTCAGTGGTTGCTGAAGACCATTGAAAATCGGCTTCTTTTGCTTGTTGAGTTTTCCAGGTTCCTAAGGGAGCGCTTCCATTCAAGGTGTTTGCTTACACACTCTGTATGTTTTTGAAGCTATATAGCTGATAGAAAGTTGTGTGTATTGACAATTGTTTTGTGAAGGTGTGAGCCTTGATTAAGTTGAAGATCACGCAAGCCACTGTGATGTGTATAGGAACATCTGGGGCATAGTATTAGTGCAGCTACCTTTTAGCCAAGGTACAATCTTTCTCACCTAAGGACAGATAAGGGGGCAATGTGACATCCACCTAAGCTTCTACTGACTCATATATTTTATTTGGGACCAGGGGTATAGTTTCATGTTCAGTTTGGTGGACCATTATTCCCTCTCACTGGCTTTGATGAGAAGATTGGTCAAAGTCAGGGAGAATATGGTTTGCGCAGTTGATACAGATTCAACAATTTTCTCTGCTCATCCCTTGTGCAATGATATAGCAAAACTACACCATCTGGGATGTCAGACTGCTGAGGATTGGGGCTTGGAGGTCAATGCAACTGGGGCAGAGAAATTATTTCCTTCTCAAAGAGCAAACCAGCCCCACAAAGTTGTACCACTCTATCTACTCACTGGTATTGGGCATGATGCAATGTAATTTGCAGTGTATGATACTGAGCTGAGTTTTTATGTTGTATTCATCCATATTATCAACCAATCCTGCTACCAGCACCCTGCTCTTTAAATGGTCAAATAGCATGCACAAGTAGCAGTCTCCAGGGACAGAGTAGGTGTCAGTTACATATCAGTTTTGATATCACTTTTCTAGGGACTTGATGATTTTGTAAAAAAAAAGAAGATTGACTGGCAAAACCCAGCTCAGGTAAAAGTTTGATCTAAAAAAACAATCACTATTTTTTTAAAATACTTAACCAAAATTTCTGTTCAATGAAGAACAAGCAGCTATACTTAAGCTTCACACTCATACCATAATTTGGGACCAAATGGAACCAAATGAGATCTGGGGACATATGGGCACATACAGAACTAAACAGGCCCTGTCTGGTGCCAAGCAGCTCTGTTCTGGTGATGCCTTTCTTGCTTCCAAGCATACTTACTTTGAAATGAAGCTCTTATTGCATGCAGGGCATATCAACACATTGTCTTTTTTACCACCTTACATAAATTTTATGTTTTCGGCACTTTTCAACACCAGAGTGACCTTGGGATCAAACCTCCACATTGGCTAGACTACAGCCTTGACACAGTGTTCTGTGTTGTCTTTTAGCTGATCCTCATGCCTCCTCCAATGTGTCTGTTTTCAGAGCACCCAGAAATAAATGGCCAACATGGAAAGGAACCCTGGTCTCCCATTAGGTAAGTGGTCTTTAAGTAACCACACACTCATCAGATCAGGAGGTACAGAAGCTGAACATTATGTTTGTTCATGTTATCCATGTTGTAATGAAGTGCTATCAAATATCATATATTTTTACAACATGTGTGAAAGAGATAGTTCAGTTCATACAATTTTTGCCATTGACAAAAAAGTGACATCCTTGAAAATTCACTCTGAGGCAATTGTGTTGCAGCTTGTTACAATGTCAGGTGAAGGATCTTAATCAAGGATCAACAAGGGAGGCACACTCTCTCTTGTTGTGCACGTTTAGATAAAACAGTTGAACCATCATGGCTTCGCTGGTATCACTGCCTACAGCGGGGTGAACAACGGACAGATTGCGCAACCGATGTGCTTGTACTGCGGATGAATTGCATTCATATGACTGATGCAGGCCACAAAGAGTCCCTGACCATACCTGATTGTTACGTGATCAACTTTGCATAGGCTTATACTGAGGCCATTTATGGTTTTAGTTGTTTGTTGCGGTTGACCTGTTAGGTTGGACCACCTGGTGTCAACCACGTTTTTGGTCAGAACTCGCGCTTGCGTAGGCATTATGCATAAGGCGGCCATGCGAGCGTGAATATGGCGGAGAGTAGCGACCTTCACGGATAGCTTTATTCCATCCACCCGCTACCCATAGAGCCTCCTATTCGTGTCGGTCATCCCTTTTGCCACTGTGTCTCTGTCGGCCGTGCAGACTTGGCCTGGGTGAACTCTGTGCGCGTGAACCTGCCGGCGGTGAAGCGACGGGCCGAGACGCTCGGCACGCGGCGCACCGTCAAGAAGGAGTGGCAGGCGGCCTGGATGCTGCGGGCCATCTCCTGCATCGACCTCACCACGCTGGCTGGTCAGTCTGGCCGCGGCTCCCTTCCGAGGGCGCTTGTGGCGCTAGGTCGATAGGTCCTGGTCTTGTGGCGCCACACGGTCGATAGTTCATGATCTTGTGGCGCCACACGATCAGTAGTTCATGGTCTTGTGCCGCCACTGGATCAAAAGGTCCCGGTCTTGTGGCGCCACACGATCGATAGTTCATAGTCTAGTGGCGCCACAAGATCAGTAGGTTGTGGCCTTGTGGCGCCACAAGATCGGTAGGTCTTGGCCTCGTGCCACAGAAGCGGTAGGTCTTGGCATTGTGGCCCCGCATTCACTTGCCCAGCCGATGTGAGTTCGCTTCATGGAACGTGAAAAATCCTGTTCCGCAGCTGGAACTGTTCGTCTCACAGGCCTGGACATTATCCGTGCGTCGGAGTGTTCTTTTGGCGAGGTCCATACATCATGCCCATACACCATGCTACGCATAACTATTCCGTGCCGCTTGAGCAAATTGGTCATGCATATTACAAAATGTCAGATTTGTTTTTGATCGGCCGGTGGGTCATAACACTGCAATACATCTGCGACGTTTTCGCCCTTAGATGAATGTTATAGAACGCTGCACATCATATCACAACATCGTGCTGCTGTGCTAAGCACGAACGCGGTAGTTCATTGTTATATAATAGCGTTATAGCGTTATTGACTGGCGTGCAGGTGTTGCCATAACGTTGCCGTCGTGTGGTCGTGTCTGCTTGGGGTCAAAGCATTGCGGCGCCTTGACCTGAACAACATGGGGCAAAAGCTGCACCGCCTCTGCTGCTGTATGTTTGTTTGGCCTGAAGGCGTATCTGTGGAATCAAGACTTTCGCCGTGCCCTCAGAGGAATTGAAGAGAGCCTGATAACTGTGCTGTTCAATGTTTGTGGAGTGTGCATGACGTCACACAATCACAGAGTGTGGGCGAGCGGTGCATTGGCTGCATCACATCACTGCACTCACTGGCATCAAGCTGCGTCTCTGCTGTCGTCCGCAGGTGACGACACGGCGGCGAACGTGGCGCGGCTGTGCCATAAGGCGGCGCGGCCGGTGCGCGCCGACATCGTCGAAGCGCTGGGCGTGGCGGGGCTGGGGGTGAGGTGCGGCGCCGTCTGCGTCTACCCCAGCCGCGTGGCGGACGCCGTGGCCACCCTGAAGAAAATCGGGGCCGGCGACGTTCCCGTGGCGGCGGGTGAGACATGTGGAGGGCTGATTAGCACGCTTGCTATGTGTATTTAGCAGCGCGTATTTAGTTATGCCGTTTATCAAGCGGCTTCTGCGACATTGTATTCCGATTGTGTCAACGTACTGGAGCATGAAGCCTGTGTGTGTTAAATGTTGTCCCAGTCACCAGTTTGTCGTCATCTGCCCATGTCAGACCCCTTTGTAGCCTCTGCATCTGAAGCCACTGGTTCCATGTGTGTTATGCGCGTGTGGCATTGTGGTATAGATGTAATGCCAAGCATGCTTGCAAGCTCAAACTGCATCAAATGGTTGACCTAAGGTGAAAAAAAAACAGTTGCAAGACCTAGATATGAGAGGCCAGCCGCACCAAAAACCCTACCTGTCGGTCGGTGGGCCAACCTCTCACTTTGCCAGCGCTACTAGCTTGGTAAGATGAAAAAATCCAGGCTTGTCCTGCTTTCTGTTACTGGGTTGAATTCACCGCGCGGGGCCGCAAAGGAGGAGGGCGGCCAGACGATCATATCTCCCCTCTGCTCTCCTGCCGTCAACGGTAGCGGCGACATGGTGTTCCGTGTTCCGTCCTGTGTTCCGCCGGTGACCGTGGTCCGTGGGCCGTCAGTGGCCACCGGCTTCCCGAGCGGACAGTTCCCGCTGAAGACGCGGCTGGAGGAGATCAGGATGGCGGTGGCCGCCGGCGCCTCCGAGATCGACATCGTCATCAGCCGCGAGAAGGCGCTGGTCGGCGACTGGCAGGTCAGCAGCGCTGGCTTCGCTTCACGACGCACGCCACTGACAGATGGCGGCGGTGGCTGGGCCTCACGACACACGCCACAGACAGACAGCGGTGGTGGCTGGGTCTCACGACACACGCCACAGACAGACAGCAGCGGTGGCTGGGTCTCACGACGCACGCCACAGACAGACAGCGGTGGTGGCTGGGCCTCACGACGCACGCCACAGACAGACAGCGGTGGTGGCTGGGCCTCACGACGCACGCCACAGATAGACAGCGGTGGTGGCTGGGCCTCACGACACACGCCACAGACAGACAGCAGTGGTGGCTGGGCCTCACGACGCACGCCACAGATAGACAGCGGTGGTGGCTGGGCCTCACGACACACGCCACAGACAGACAGCGGTGGTGGCGGGGCCTCACGACGCACGCCACAGACAGACAGCGGTGGTGGCTGGGCCTCACGACGCACGCCACAGACAGACAGTGGCGGTGGCTGGGCCTCACGACGCACGCCACAGACAGACAGCGGTGGTGGCTGGGCCTCACGACGCACGCCACTAACAGATGGCGGCGGTGGCTGGGTCTCACAGTACACACTTCTGTCAGCGATGGTAGCTAGGTCTCGCAGCGTACGTTACTGGCTCGTCAGTGGCTGTGGTTGAGTCTCACAATGGACGCTCCCGGCTGGCTGGTCAGTGGAGCTGGTGTGAGGCGCACCGACCTGTTTCTGCGGTCGGCTGCCTGCTGCAGACAGTCTGTGACAGACGGCCTCTTGCAGACGGTGTACGACGAAGTCAAGCTGATGCGGGACGCGTGCGGCGACGCGCACATGAAGGCCATCCTGGCCGTGGGAGAGCTAGCCTCGCTGGTTAACGTATACAAGGCGTCGCTGGTCTGCATGATGGCCGGGGCGGACTTCATCAAGACGTCGACCGGTAAGACAGGGTCCGTTTGGAGTGACTTGTTTGGCACTCCCAGCGCGGGAATGAAAGCATTTTCTTTAAAAGGAAGCGCCTCATTCATTGTATTTACCTCGCTTCCCTCGTTTGAGCAAGTCCTGTATGTATATGGCACTGGGCTGAACATCAGTGGTCATCGCTTGTCGACCGCCGTTTTTATCTGGATCGCTAAAGGGCTGTCAGAATTTGGCATAAGACTATGCTGCAGAATACAGCACTTGTTATAAATGCCTCTATTTTCGTGCTACTTCCGGGTCATTTCTCAGGCTCCCCCATGAGCACATACCTGGCCGGTCTATGTTGCACTGGCGGACGTGTGTTGTGTGACGCAGGCAAAGAGTCCGTGGACGCCGCGCTGACGGTGGGCGTGGTCATGTGCCGTGTGCTGTGTGACGCAGGCAAGGAGTCCGTGAACGCCGTGCTGCCGGTGGGCGTGGTCATGTGCCGTGTGCTGTGTGACGCAGGCAAGGAGTCCGTGAACGCTGTGCTGCCGGTGGGCGTGGTCATGTGACGTGCGCTGTGTGACGCAGGCAAGGAGTCCGTGAACGCCGTGCTGCCGGTGGGCGTGGTCATGTGCCGTGCCATCCGCGAGTACCACGAGCGCACCGGCCACAAGGTGAGGGATCGACCGGCGGCGTCAGGTGAGAAAGGCTGGACCCGTGGCCGCGAGGTGCGAGAGGCCAGACTGGTGGCCGAACAGTGAGTCAGAAAAGCTTTTGTCATGCGGGTGTACCGATATGAGTTCAGTGTTGGATAGCTTTTCGAGTGGTGTTCCAATAGATGCGCTGAGTTGTGTGTGATGGCCACTTTCCTATCTACTCGGTCAGTGCCATGACATCATCATGGTGAACCACTCAACGACGATGGAAGCTGTCATCATTTAAGGTCTAACAACCAAGAGCTGTCATAAATCCAGATGTCATCGCTGACCACATTCGTCATTCAGATTACAGGGGAGTGTGGATAGTGTGACTAAGCTGCGCATCTGGACACCAGGGGCCACGGGGTTGATTCCCCTGATGTGCCCGCCCCTCCCACCAGGGCGACAGGCTGGTGACGTCATAGAGCGAGCCTCCGTAGCTGAGTGCGTCGCAGCATCCCAGTGACACGGCATGGCACTCGAGTCGAAATGACCCCATATCGTAGTTAACAAAACAATTTTGCGATAGAGAACGTCGTAGTTGTTTTTAAGGTCCTAGCGTCTTGACGCCAAAAGCTCAGAAGGGCCTTGTGAATGGTTGCCCAGGAGCTGCCTCTGCGGGAAAGTGAGAAGAGCACACTGAAGTCGCCTATCGATGATAGAGGAGTTATTGGTTATTGGTATTGGTATGGTTATTTTGACAAATGCAGAATTCATGTATCGGAAAAATTCGCGAAGCTTCCGGTTGTTGCGCTTTGGAATGCAGGTGCAAAAAAAACGCCGAAGGAGAAGGTGGCAATGTATGCCCAAAATATGAAGATTTGAGCGTAGACGGCATCTGGAGTTACACAGCTCTGTGAAGCCCCTCTCTTCATTGACAGATCGGCTTCAAGCCAGCGGGCGGCATTCGAACGGCCAAGGACGGCGTGCTGTGGCTGATCCTGATGAAGGAGGAGCTGGGCAACGACTGGTTGAACAGCCAGCTGTTTCGCATTGGCGCCTCCAGCCTGCTGGGAGACATCGAGCGGCAGCTCTTCCACCACGCGTTCAACAGATACGCTGCTGCCTCCGAGCTTCCCATGGCCTAGCGAACCCCTCCGGCAATGTCCAGTGGCGTTCTGAGCTTTCCCAGCAGCTGCCGGTGGCCTGCTGTAGATGCCCAGTAGCCCGATGTGGAAGCGTAGTCAGGCGCTTTGGCGGGTTCATAATATTGGTGCTTGAATTAGTAGGGTAAGATTGAACGGGTCACAGCTACTAACGATGCTGATTTGTTTACGTGAGGATTTGGGGGCTCTGCTGCTGTTGTTACGCTGTTGAAGATGTGCTCAGGGGATTTTTGTTTACTCCCAAGCTGAAGAAGGCAGCATGCCAGGGAGGTCTAGCGCTTGGTATGTCGTTCAAAGTGATGACGCATTCCATTAGCTCATTTATGATGTGTATGCTCGTGCATCTGCTATGAAATACATGGGGTGTGTAAGCCAAGGTGTGTATCTGAAACTGTATCTGCCCCGCCGTCAGCTGAGCTTGCGTGACGGTGCGTGGTCCCACATTAACCGCGGGGCCACACATCCATTTTTTATTTCGCGAGCACAAACGTGGAGAGCTCTTTGGTGTTGCCTGCGGTCTGTGAAAACTAGGGTTACGTTCCAGGTGGAACACCGTTGTCACTGCAAAACTTAATGGACAGCAGCGATTTGACCGCAGCGATCTGTCGGGAGTCGCGTGATGTAATCACGTCGCCTTTGACGGAAGAGAGGAGTAGGCTATTATTTATTTTCATTGCCCGTGCTGGCACGGGACGTCTTGGGGGTGGTGCTTCATGGAACAAACTCTGACACTCATATGGTTTAACGCGGCCTTGGGTTGCCGCCGTTGCGTGAACCCCGAGGTGGCGCGGATACCGGCGCTGCGCGGGCTCCGCGAGCACCGACGCCAAATGGGCGCGCTCTGCTCGGCGTTTGGTCGATGGGCCAGGTGAGCAACACCGGGGCGCGTCGGTGCGCACCACCGGTCGTCCCGGCGTTCCAGGCAAGGAGTCCTGGTCAGTGGACTGGGCCAGCCAGCTCTCGGACAGCCAATGCTGCGCAGCTCAAGCGATGCCCGTCTCAGCGCCGGGCCATCACACTGCTGCCAGGTGAGAGGCAGGCCAGGCCGCCACACTGCTGGCAGGTGAGAGGCAGGCCAGGCCATCACGCTGCTGCCAGGTGAGAGGCTGGCCAGGCCATCACACTGCTGCCAGGTGAGAGGCAGGCCAGGCCATCACACTGCTGCCAGGTGAGAGGCAGGCCAGGCCATCACACTGCTGCCAGGTGAGAGGCAGGCCAGGCCGTCACACTGCTGCCAGGTGAGAGGCAGGCCAGGCCATCACACTGCTGCAGTGGCGTGTGTAATTTCGCCGAAAGTGCCTGTCAACGGGATGAAAAACTTGCCACTGAACTGCGGGTGTAAGCGGCAGATGTTGAGCATCACCATAACCATGATGGGAAATCAATGCATTTTGTTGGTGCTTTTCACTTGTCTACTTGGCACAGACATCGGAGGTGGGAGGGAGTGAGATCGTCGAAAGAGATACAAAACTCCAGCCGTGGCGACGCTGTAACAATGTGTCTGAGCAGCAGCCCCTGCCGGCGACTGACACATGTGGCGTCCTTGTGACAGACGTTTGTCGGAGTCGCGGCGACTGTGGCGCGGCTACAGGGAGCGCGACACCGAACTGCTGGTGGCCGGCCAGCTGACGGCCGCCCAGGCCTCGCGCTGCCATCTGTTCCTGCAGCGGCTGCCAGCGGCGGCGCCCGAGCCGGCGGACCCCCTGACGACACGTCAGCGCGCCAGAGTCGAACGTCTGGTGCTGGACACGACCAGCTTGGTGCGCACGCCCTGACCCACAGAATGAGCCCTTCGCACGTTCTGATCGACAGGATTGGCTCTTCGCACGCCTTGACCTACAACATGAGCCCTTGACGCGCCCTGGCAGACGGGGGCGGCTCATGGCACGCTGTGACCGTCAGGATGTACGCGTCTAACGTCTGGCGTCAGTCTACCAGCAGTTTTCTGTTACATGTCGCTCTGTGAGGCCTTTGGCAGCAGGACTGAGCTAGCCAGTAAGCCGGATGTGTTGATCACCACCCGTAGCCACTGCCCGGCAGGTAATCTGCTGGGAATTTTAATCGCGTTCTTCAGAAGATAATCCATCACCGACCGCTTCGCTGGTATCAGATGCGTGGGCTTGCACCACTCAGTACAGCTATATAAGGGCTGATTGACGACTACGAGCTGATTGTCGCAGAACTCGCTTCCGGCTTAATCAGCCGTTCACGTATTGCTGGCTGTTACATTCACTTAGCTCAGGTATCTGTTTCGAAAGGTCTGTTGTCATTCTTGCCAAGCTGCGAAATCGTCGAGAACCGTGTGACTGATCTCAATCCGCGAACGCCCATGGTTGCCTCAGTCGACATTAGGCTGCGGAATATTTCAGTGTCGAGAGTCAAGGTTGTGAACTGGAGGAGCAGCCAGATGCCCTCGACAGAGATTTGTTTTGTTTGTGTATGGTGTTCGACCTATTTGGGGGTCACGGGGGGGGGGGGGAAGAGAATAACCCTCCCAGTCAGCTGCCGTTGGTGAGATCCGGTAGAAACGTGGTCGTGTTCGTTTGCTTTTGCTCGTGAGGACTGCCAATATACTCAGGCGCTTTCTATGCGTTTTTTTTGTTGAGCAATTTTTCAGGCTGTCTAGCCGTCGTTGTTTGCGGCTCAGCTCAGCAGCGTGGCTGCCGTTTGGCCGCGCCAAGCACTGATGACTGCGTTAACATCACGTGCAGGGGGGGGGGGGGGGGGGGGGGGGAGGCAGCGCCTTCAGATGGGCAGAAACAAGCGACGAGAAAGAGTCAGACGCCATAAAGATGTCAGCAATGTCTCAACGCTGCGACAATTCTGAATTCAAAGAAACCAGGCATTTGAAGTTAAGTTACTGCAAGGTTTTCTGTCCCTCACAGCCCGTGAGCAGCTCGTGTTTGTTATGTTCACTGAGGGCTGCGGACGCTGGTCGGCCGACTAAAGAACCGACTCGGATGACCTCTAGAATCGCATTTTTGTGCCTGAAATATGTCTGTCCCACAGCTGCGCCTAACAAAAAAAAACCTTAATCAGAAGCCCGTTGCGCTTCTGTAAGCCAAAAGTACCGCTTTTGTAAGCTACTGGTATACCAATTTTGAACAGTGACCTGATCTGACATGACCTATGTGGTAAAACGAAAATGATTGGAACTGGCTCTCTACAGTCTTAATTTTTATTTCCGTGTCCTCAATATCTGGCTTAACGAACCGGCATCGGTTTTAGCTACATCTCCGGTGACAACCGTTTTTTACCTTTCTTGACTTGGTGACCTTACATTTGGTATAAGGTCGAAAATTTGACATACATTCTTCATGACTTGACGAGACCTTCCAAATAACATCTTCTTTTTTCTCACAGAGGGTCTGGAGGTTAAAGATTCCAGAAGGGAGATTAACTTCGCCCCGTCCGTGCTCGGCTCTCTCAGACCTCCACCGGGTGCGGGTTCAGGGTTGGTAAACATCCAGCTCCATTAACGGATCCAGCTACCGGGCTCAGGGGCCATGCCTCGCGGGCAAATTATGCAGCCTACTTACACTGCAGTTGGGTAACGGACTACGTGCAGGCACGACGTCACCAGCAGGTCTAATCGGTCAAATAGGTCCTGCAGCGCCGGGTGTGGAGGTTTTTGTTGCTAAGATTTGCAAGTGCGCATGTTCAAAACCGCCTCACAATTTTTCAGGTGTCGATTCTGACTGAATGCTTATCATCTCCAGACAAACATGGTTGGCAATCTTACTTCAAATTTTTGACTTTTTGTCGGGAGTCTTTCAAGGTCGCTTTTCAGCCATATACCTCCCCCCCCCCCCCGCTCCACCCACTGCCAAAGCTCAGGCTGCGTTCCTGTAGTGTACGTAAATCAAAGCATTTATCTTAGATGAAACGCCACAATGCCAACCGCTCCACAACTTCGATAAGAGAGAGCCCCAAATCCGGAGGGCAACTCGTTGGTTGGTGTTTTTCGGGCTGCTTTTCGAGTCGCTTTTTTGCCCTTCAGACCCTTCTTCCAACTCATTTTACAAATCTACGGTCCATGCTCGGTTATTTCCCAGGTTGAGGGCCAGCGATAATTTACGAATCCATCTGACCTATCGGACCTGTTGGTGACTTCCGTGCCTGCGCGTAATCCATCCGTAGTGTGTCAAGTAACAGTTTTAGATTGTTTGTACCGCGCCCGTGGTATACTGTCAAGCAGCGATGTACTAATTCAATGTTACGATATACGCCGCCGGCTTCTGAGAGCATCTCCGGAATGGAAAGCAAATCAGATTGTTTGTACCACGCCCGTGGTGTATTCTCAAGCAATGATGTATTAAACCAATGTTTCAATATACGCCGCCGGCTTCTGAGAGCATCTGCGGAGTGGAAAACAAATCATCAGCTGACCCGGAATTGTTCTAAAGCAGTCTGACAGCGCCTCCCTGATATGTTGGGATCTGCTTGCTGCAGTGGTGTAGTTTCGCAGCATGAGGTGAGGTGGCTGAGCAGCAAGGAAAAAGAAAACAAGAAAATAGATTATCGTCCTCTCGAAAGGCAAGGAAAACCCGGTATGCCTGGATTTCATTCATTTTGTTCTTGATCGACTGCAGCCCCATCCACCGAAGTAGGAAACTATAGCCCTTGGTTTCTGCATTTGGATAATGCTGTGTCATAGACTCAGTTTTTAGCGATTGCAGCATATCTTTGTTTAACACGCGCTCGGGTGGGCGTCAGATTGACCCCCTCAAGGGTATTCCGGAATGGTTTCCGAAGGACGCGGCGTAGCCGCTCCACATTTTGCATAGCTCTAGACCATTTAATAGCAGATTGTTGGACTTAAAAAAAAAAACTAGATTTGCCTTGTAAGGTCCCTGATCTATGAGAGGTCAAAGCCAGTCCATGGCTTCAGCATAGATAGTTTCTGGGGAATCGTTCAATCAGATCCAACAACGGAGTGTTAGACAAAGCCATACATCTCCGAGATACTTTCTTGGGCAACACAACGATTGAATAAACAAATTAACTTACCTAAGGCCAGGGATGAAAGTCAGACCAAGGTCAAAACCAGCCTGTTTTATTACTCTAGTGCTTGCTGTATGGGGTAGTTTTTGGTGCTCATTTCGAATTTATCAAAAGTTTGTTTCTAGGAACATCCTGCCTAGCGTTATCTTTGTCGCTTGTCCAAATGCAAAACTCGAAGCGGTCTTGTATGATGTTAGTCGTCATGACCTTCAAAAGGTCAAACAAGGCCAGATTTTATACGAGAATGTGACCTTTTGCCTAGAATAGGTATCTAGGTTCTAGGGACCCTCTGGAGACCAACCTGGAATTCGAAACGATGGAATAATACCCGAACATCACACGGCATTTATTGCTGTTTACACCCGATGAACGACTTTATTGACATGTTGACGCCCTTCTTCACAATCGAACCAACTAAGGTTCCGATCACACTTGTTCCGAGAAACCGCGATGGATAAAAATCTACTTTTTTCAAATTTGATAGCATGTGACAGCTCACCCCGGCATATATGACCACTTGCATACACACACGGAAGAATGCCACGTCAAATCTCTCCTTTAGGCCCTGATAACGGGACAGTTCTTTAAGTTAGGCGAAGCTGATTTTTCCAAATGCGCAAGTGCTCATGTAACACGATGGACAAAAAACTGAAAACTCCTCTCGGTCCTGAGTGCCAAAATGATGCGACGAATAAGTGACACGACTTACAATGGTCTCCCTTCGCAGGTTTACCCTCGCCTTGGTACAAACAGGAAGACATACTTATGCTCGATTCATGTTGCCATGATTTGAGCCGATTCTGTTTCAATAATTTCGCGAACCTTATCATGATTTTAAGCAGAGGCACCCTTTGAGCTACAAGGCCAATGCATTTTTTGTTGCTCTCATATCATTTTGTTTGATCTGATTCTGAAAGACAAAAACCGTGGTTAAATCTACAACTGAATCGAATTCATCCGAATCAATAAGCTCACAGGTCACATAACATTGGATTTGTTCACGTTGGATTTGCGCATTCTCAGGAACTTCTGCGTCTTGCAAAGGTATTTGACCGTTATGCTTCTTCCCACAATAAATCAAGTACAGCAGAATATTATGAGTACAAATAAACCACAGCCTGCAAGATAGGGGTGAGAGCCCCCTGAGGCGCCCATGCTATTTGTCAGCGTTCTTCAGCACGGTGTTGAAATACTGAGTACACGAGACTACATCATTAATAAGCATGTCACAACAATTTCGGCTTTCTGACCTTGGTGGCTCATTATGCCTTCTCGAGGTTATGTGGGCGACGTTTTATTGAAAATTGGTAAATAGGATTTATTTTCCGGATGCAATGTACTAAACACTGGTTTTCTAGAGTCTTCGCCTGATCTTTCAAGTGTACTGCTATCGCTTTGGTTGTTTTTGCAAGGTCGGGTCATCAGAGGTTCAAACCTTTACGCTTGTGATCAAGTTTGGTTATTTGTAGGTCAGACCATTTAAGCATTCTCGGTACATACCTCAGACATTTAGAAGACCTTTGAAACTTTGCTCTTTTCACGAATGTGGCTTGTTTGGTTGATATTTGATATTGCTGGACTGGCGAATGCAACAATAACCTTCATTCCTTTTACTTGACTTGATAGTCGTGGTGGAGATTTGTTGTCTTGAGACGCGTCGTCATCGGGGCCATTTTGCGCCCAAGACTTCACATCGCGGCTCACATGAGTCGATGCCCACTAGCGTCTGTGCAATAGCTTTCTAGGAAAATTTCAA